CCTGTCCTGTAAAGAGGAGCAGTGTGGGGGGACTGCTCTTGGGCCAGACACCTCTCAGAGCAGTACAGGGTGTTCAGACCCCCCTTGGGTTAGTATGGGGGGGTGTCAGACCCTCCAAGCAGCATTTTGGGCTCACACCCCTCTTGGAGGAGTACAGGGCAGTCTGATCCCTCTTGGAAAAGCACTAAGGGGGATCAGACTCCTCAGAGCAGTGCCATGAGGAGATCCAGTGCCATCATAGCCCCGTGCAGTGAGATCACCTTGGCACTGGCACCAGTCCCTTTCCTGGGGCTTTCCCTTTGGAGGCACTATGCAAAAATTGCTGTGCCAGTACAGGGGGTGGTGGCATTGGCAGTGCTGGTGGCATCTCCCAGCCATGCTTTGATTGTCAGGGTGTCCATATGGGCTTCTGGAAGGGGTTTTGCTGAAGGAAGGAGAAGGAGGAGGAAGGGGGGAGCCACACCAGAGTCACCTCAGGGGTTATCCCAGCTGCTGCAGCAATCCCTCCTCTGCTGCTGTGAGCTCTGTCACAGAAGTCACTGCTTGGGGTGCCATGCTGTGACAGTTTAGTCTACCTGACAGCACAGCTGCCAAGTGACAGATCTAATGTGGACATCCCCCATGGGTTCCACACTTGGTCCTCAGGAACATCCTGTCCCCTGGAACCCCCTGCTGCTCATTTACTGTGTGCTCAGAGTGCCTGGTAGAAGGTCACCCATGTGGCAGTCCTGGGTGAGATCGGTGTCATAAATTGGTTTTAAATGTTTTGATAGCAAATTTCCATCATGGCAGGGAGCCTGCAGCAGAGTATGGGGACGTATGGGAGCTCCCCTGGGAGGGCAAGTTCCTTTTCATCAGCCTTAGGGGATCCCTGGGGAATGGAGGGAGAGGTGCTCTTGGTTATGGGATGAGGGCTGGGTGCTGTAGGGGCTGAGAATCCCTCTCACCCTGTCCCCTGTGCTGGGCCACCCACGGTGCCACAGGAGCTGGAGCTGATGGAAAACATCTTGACGAGCAAGCAGGACGAGAGCTGGGAGCAGCGGGGCCCCCGGGCCTCCTTCAGCCGCCAGGAGCGGAGCCGCCTGCTCTGGGAGGACGTCAGCGTCGTGGAGGAGGACAACACCAAAGTCACCGCCCTGAAGCTGAGGCTGGATGAGTCCCAAAAAGTGCTGCTCAAGGAGCGGGAGTGAGTGCTTGGGGCATCATCCTTGCAGGGTGCCAGCTGATACCAGCCTGGTCCCCGCTGGGGTGGCATGTCCCATGGGGTCCTGCAGTGTGTCACTATCATTGCCTCTCCCCAGGGACAAGCTGGCGCTCAGCAAGAACATTGAGAAGCTGGAGGGTGAGCTCAGCCAGTGGAAGATCAAATATGAGGAGCTCAACAAGAACAAGCAGGAGGTGATGAAGCAGGTGAGCGAGGTGCCTGGGGAGCAGAGCTGCCCTGGGGTGGCCTGTCCCTCACAGGATGGCACATCCTGATGGACACGGTGGCCCACAGCCACTTCCCCAAGTCCGGGTTGCTTGTTAAGGGTCTTCATTAGTGCTATTGATGCAGTGGTTCCATCCATAGAGGTTGGGTGAGTGGGTGTGGGCCGGGCTCAGGTGGAAGGTGGGTGTTCACAGCCCCCTTTGCTGCCATGTCCCCCCACAGCTCAATATCCTGAAGGAGATTCATCAGGACGAGCTGGGGCGCATCTCTGAGGACCTGGAGGATGAGCTGGGCGCTCGCTCCAGCATGGACAAGAAACTGGCTGAACTGCGTGCAGAGGTGAGGCCAAACCCCAACGTGGGGGACAAAGGGGGCAGTGAGGGGGGTCCTGCTGCCCCCCAGCCGCCCCGTGCCCCTGTTCCAGATGGAGCGGCTGCAGGCAGAGAACGCGGCTGAGTGGGGCCGGCGCGAGCGGCTGGAGACGGAGAAGCTCAACCTGGAGCGGGAGAACAAGAAGCTGCGGGCGCAGATCGAGGACCTGGAGGAGGTGCTGGCTCGCAAGCGGCGCCAGACAGCCAGTGCCCTGGACACTGACCTCAAAACCATCCAGGCTGAGCTCTTCGAGAAGAACAAGGTGCCATTGAGGTGGTGCTGTCCCCTACCACCGCATCCCTGGGTGACTTTGTTGTGGGGCTCAGCCTCCGCAAGGACTCCCTCAAGCCCAGATTTTGCCACCACCCCTCAATGGATGGTGGTGACCCCATCCTTGTTCCATCAGATCTTTGGTCATGGGGTGGGGCAGTGGGAGAGATCCCTGGGGAGGGAGGAGGGGATACCCAGTGGTGGGGATGACTGTCCCATGCTCAGCCCCCTCCCCATGCCCACCACAGGAGCTGGCCGACCTGAAGCACATCCACACCAAGCTGAAGAAGCAGTACCAGGAGAAGATGGCCGAGCTGGCCCATGCCAACCGCCGCGTGGAGCAGCATGAGGGAGAGGTGAAGAAGCTGCGCCTGAGGGTGGAGGAGCTGAAGAAGGAGCTCGCCCAAGCCGAGGATGAGGTGGGAAAGCTCATGCTGGTGGAGAAGGTCAGGGAGCTGTTCTGCTCCCTACACAGCTGCTAATAGGACCATCCCATCCCATCCCATCCCATCCCATCCCATCCCATCCCATCCCATCCCATCCCACAGCTGGATGAGGCCCACAACCAAACACGGAAGCTGCAGCGGTCTCTGGACGAGCAGACGGAGCAGAGCGAGAGCTTCCAGGTGCAGCTGGAGCATCTGCAGTCACGGTGAGCAGGGCTGGGTGAGCCATGTAGGGACCAGCCAGGATGGGATGATGGGATGATGTTCTTCTTGCCACCATCCCTCAACCAGCGTCTGCCTGGTTGAACCCCAGGCTAAGCATGGCCAAAGTGCCTCCGACATCCTCGGAAGGGGCACAGCCATCCTCTGAGCTGTCTTCACTCCACTTTGAACTGGGTGGCATTCACCTCCCAGTTAAACCAGCACAAGGTTGCACAGAGACCAGCACAGCTCAGTTTTGTGCTGCTTAGGGTTGCACCCACTAGTACCCACGGCCAGGGCAGGCTCCTACCATCCCACACCAGTTTGGGGAGGTGGGAGCTGAGTTTTCTTGCCCTTAAAACTTTCCCTGGCCCTGCTTTTGCTCTCCAGCAGTAAAGAGCTGAAATGGCCGTGGGATCGATGCTGTGGCTCCAGGAGGCGCTGGGGGGGTGTTTATAATCATCCTTTATTTTATTGGGACATCCGCATTAAATCATGGAAGCATAATGGAGGATTCATCACCCCCCCCCAGACTCCCTGTGCGCTCAGCCCTAAATAATTCATGCTTTCCAGTAAAGTGTGGTGGACTGGTTGGATCTCACTGGGTCCTTGGCTTTTGGATTTCAAATTTGATTCATAACATTTCCTTGATGAATTTTCAGATGAGGGCACACCACAGGTTCCTGGGAATGGGGACCACTGGGGTTTATGAAGGTTCCTCAGTTTAGGGGGATGACATCTCCATTCTCTGCAGCCCTGTCTGGGTCTGTGCTGCCCAGCACAGTGATGTCCAGCCATGGAGGGGTTTAGCCTGTGCCCCACTTGTACTGAGCACCATCCACAGCTCCCCAGCTCCGTGCTGGCCCCGGGCTGCGGGGGCTCATCCTGTGCTCAGAGCTCACTGGGGGCTGCAGGAAGGAAGGAATCTCTCTGGGGTGCAGCCATGCTGTAGGGGTGCAGGGGAATGGGCTCAGCTTCAGGGCCCCCCAGGGCCGTGCTGCACCCCCTGCCCAGCTGCTGTCCCTCGCAGGCTGCGGCGCCAGCAGAGCGCCCCGCTGTTCGGCAAGATGCGCAGCGCCCGCTTCGGCCCCGACGACGCTGGGGACGGCACCAGTGACCCCGACGAGGATGAGGACCTGCAGATCCAGGTGCCCTAGAGCCCAGGGCCAGTGCCACCACCGCAGGATGTCCCACATCAGTCCTCTGCGTTCAAGTGCATGTCGCCACGGGGCCCAGCTGTGCGGTGATCCTTGTATAGATGGGGAAACTGAGGCACGGAGCGGTGGGGAGAAATTTGCTCAGAGGTGCTCCAAAACCCACTGCTTCTTGGACAGTACTGGATGCTCCTTTGGCCACTGGCATCTCCTGGAACACTGATGTGGCCACTAAAGCCAGCATCACAAAGCAGCCCAGGAGGAGGAGGCGCAGGCCAAGAGAGGCACCAAGCTTGGCAGCCACAGACTGCCCACTTCTTTTTATATATATTATATATATGTATGTATTTGTATATGATTTTTTATTATAAATACAGAGCCCAGATGGGCCCAGGCTCTGATGGTGGTGTGAGCTGCTGGTCTGTCCCCACACAGGAGTGAGGGCGGGGAGGGGACACGTCAGGGAGAATTGGCATTTCTTCACCAGCCACACACGGCCTGGATGTCACCCACTGGCATGCCTGTCCCCATGCCTGGAGACCAGCCCAGTGTGGGGGTACAGCCTGTCCCCAGCCTGTGCAGTGAAAGGTGTTCACCCAGAGGTGCTCACCCTGGGGACGTGCTCAGGTGCTGACCCAGGGGTGCAGACATGCTCACCTGTGGGTGCTGATCCCCCCAGCACAGCCCCTTCAGCCCAGCCCCCCAACACAGAACCTTGGGGGCTTTGGAGGCGCTCAGACACAACCTTATTAAAAATTAATATTTTGGTGAGCTAATCCCCTCGCTCTGCCTTTTAATTGATTGGCTAAAAGCGTAGCTCTTTGCTGCTCATGGGTTTTTTTTAATGCACTTTTATTTCCAGCGATTGTTCATATTTTTATAGCCCAACAAGTGATGCCGCGGGGGTGGGGGTGCCTGGGGGCAGTTTTAGTGAGAGGCCTCACTCACAGTTTGGGGGGCACAGAGCGGCGGTGAGGTGACACCTGAGCCGAGGGATGGACACGAGGCTGCTGCCGCCGCCCGTCCGTCGCTGCGGGGTGTTCTCCCCAAAGCCTAATGATGGAAACCTCGTTCCAGGGCGGCCGGTTGGGCAGCCCGGGGGTGGAGGGAGGGTCCCGGGGCGGGGCCGGGCGGGGCGGGGCCGGGCGGGGCCGAGCGGCTCCGGGGCTCGCAGGACGCGGAGGCTCCGGCGGCTCCGCTCGCACCGGGAGGCCGGGTAAGGCGGGGGAACCGGCGGGGGAACGGGGCCGGGCGGAGCGGGTGACACCGGACGGGGCTTGACCGAGGTTTGGGGCTGACAAGTGTCGGGGGTAAACGGCCGGGAGGTGACAACGCCCGGAGGGACGTCCCGGTGGGAGACCGCGTGTGATGGGTGATGAGGGGTCGGGGGGCGCCGGGGGCGGGGGTGCCGAGGTGACAGGTCGGGGGTAGGGGGTAGGAGGTGCCCCCCAGCATCTCTGAGCTCCCTTGGGGTGTTCGTGTGCGTGGGGTGGGGTGATGGGGATGGGGGAACGGGGGGGATACTCCCCTCGGAGGGAGCGCTGCCCCCCGCCTCTCTCAGACCGCGGGCGGTCCCCAAGGTGCTGTCCCAGGCAGATTCCCTTGGGTGCTGGGCTTTGGGGACCAGGGCGTCGCTGCTATGGAGGAGCATCCCCGGGGATAGCCCCATTCTGTTTCCTGGGTTACTGCCTTCTACCTGGGGCTGCTTCACCTGGGAAAGGAACCTGGTCCCCACCTGGTCCCACCGAGTGGGGCTGGGGGAACCAGCGGGGACCAGGCTGAGCGAGGCCGAGCTCATGGGAGGGCTGGAGAGAGGCTGGGTTACACCAGGGCTGCGAGGTTGGAAGCCGGGGTCCCTCTGGCCGAAACACCCCACACCGGAGCCGGCCTGGCCGTTCCCACCGAGCCCAGCCCGTGCCCAAGGGCCGGGGCCATGTTGCTGCCCAAGCGAGCAGCCTGGGAGGAAGGAGAGGCAGTGCGAGGGGTGATGGAGACCTGTGGGCGAGGTCTGGTGTGGGTGTCCCCTCGGACACGTGTTGGAGCTGGCGGCAGGGGACTGACCACTTGTCTGTGCCACCCTGGCTCCGCCGTGCTGGCAGGGGTTAACACCGGACTGTTCCACTCGGATGGTTCAGGCAGCGAAGGGAGGAGGAAGAGGAGGAGGAGGAGGAGGAGGAGGGGAAGGAGGAGGAGGAGGAGGAGGACGACAAGGAGGAGGGGGAGGAGGACGAGGAAGATGTCACCCGTCGATCTGTCATTTCTCTTTTCCAGCCAGTATGGGGTACACTGCTAGCACCAAGCTGGGCCGGTGGTGAGACAGGAGGGGTAGGGAGGGAGAGGATGGAGAGGGGGGGGCGAAGGTGAAGGCAGCCCCCCCCTCCCAAAATATCCCCTACCCTATCGAGCCATCACCATGGCGACGAATTTTAACGACATCATCAAGCAGGGCTATGTGAGGATGAAGAGCAAGAAGCTGGGGGTGAGTGGGGATTTTGGGGAATGTGGAGATGTGGGGGGAACACCCATGGATTTGGGGTGCTGGTTTCCCAGTGAGGTGATGTGGACAGGACCCCCTTGTGGCTTCCTGTGCCCCTGGTTTGGGGGTTGAATAAGCAGCCTTTTGGGGGCTGTGGTGGCAGAGGAGTGGGGGATGGCAGGGACAGGCCACTTGTTGGTACCCAAATCACCCAGCAGCCCCAGGGGTCCAACATCTGCACCGGCCGAATCCTGCACCGAGTAACACCCACTCACCTGTCCTAGGTCACCCAGGGTTTGGGGAATGTCTGTGAGCCTTCCCTTCCCTCCGTGCCTCAGTTTCTCTGCACACACAGTTTGGCATCGGGAATGCCCCACGCTGGGAGGGACTGGAGCTGCTGGGTGCAAATTATGGTGGTGTGGGAGTGCGGCACCCATAGGTGGGGGGTCAGGGGGTTTGGTCGCCCATCTGCATGGTTTGGAGCCGCAGCAACGAGCATGCTGGGTAATTTCATGCTAATTAGGGAGAACAAAGAGGGAGCGGGATCGAGGGGAGGGGGACATGCCTGGGGACGGTGGCCCCACCACCCTCAGAGTCAGGGAATGTAGGAGAGGGGACGGCGAAATGCCAGAACAGCGGTCCCCTTGGGAGCATTGTCTGTGTTCATTAATTAAGCTCTGTAATTAGCACTGGCAGGGGGTGGGGGCAGATGGTGGCAGCCCCGGCATAGCCCCATCCCCAGCATCCCCTCCTGTCCCCAGGCCAGCAGGGTCAGCAGAACCAGGCACGGTTCCTGGGGATGGGGACAGGGGATGTGGTGGGGACAGGGAGCGCCTCTTGCACCAAGCAGCCGCCGCGCTCTCTGTCCGGCAGATCTACCGGCGGTGCTGGCTGGTCTTCCGCAAATCCTCCAGCAAAGGGCCCCAGCGCCTGGAGAAGTACCCGGATGAGAAGTCGGCGTGCCTGCGGGGCTGCCCCAAGGTGAGGGGGTGCGCTGGAGGGGTGCTGGGGTGCTGCCCGCTGCTTGGGGACCCGTGCCAGAGCAGGTCCTTCCTTGCCTAAATTCGCTGGGTGGCTGTCACCCCGTGCGCTCCGCAGGGGGACGCAGCTGGGTCCGGGTGCTGCAGGTGTCAGGGTCTGCGCGCAGCAGGGAACAGGGTCTGGGAGCAGCCCTCGGTGACCCCCCAACTCCTCTGCAGGTCACCGAGATCAGCAATGTCAAGTGCATCACGCGGCTGCCCAAGGAGACCAAGAGACAGGCGGTGGCCATCGTTTTTACCGACGACTCCGCCCGGACCTTCACCTGCGACTCAGGTACGGGGCAGCGCCCAGGGGAGCCGGGCTGAGGGTGCTGGGTGGGGCACCCCGGCGTGGCCAGGGTCGCCCAGGGGCTGCCGTGGTGCCTTGCAGAGCTGGAGGCGGAGGAGTGGTACAAGACGCTGTCGGTGGAGTGCCTGGGCGCCCGCCTGAACGACATCAGCCTGGGGGAGCCCGACCTGCTGGCGCCCGGCGTGCAGTGCGAGCAGACGGGTGAGCGCGGCGGGGAGTGCTCGCCCGGGGCTCCGCCTTGCTGCACCCCCCGCTGATTATTTTATTGTCTATTTTTTTTTCCCCTTTCCAGACCGGTTCAACGTGTTCCTCCTCCCCTGCCCCAACCTGGACGTCTATGGCGAGTGCAAGCTGCAGATCACCCACGAAAACATCTACCTCTGGGACACGCACAACCCCCGGGTGAAGCTGGTCTCCTGGCCCCTCTGCTCCCTGCGCCGCTACGGCCGCGACGCCACCCGCTTCACCTTCGAGGCTGGACGGTGAGGTGTCACCCGTGCCAGGACAGGGATCACAGCTGTGTGCTGTCCTCCAGCTGGGTGCTCCAGGCAGTGGCACTGCTGGCATCACCACAGGGCAGGCCTGAGGCTGGGCTGATGGCGGTGGCCTGCACAGCGTGCCCAAGGCAGGCAGGGCTTGGAGCTGGTTCTGGTCCCAGATCAGCACCGTGAAGGGGACACAGGCACAGCTCTAACAGTATGGGAAGCTGTGCCAGCTGTCATCTGGGTGGGTTTTATCATCCCTTGGCTTGAAGACCTTGGTGACATCCTGTGCCCTGTCCCCACAGGATGTGTGATGCAGGAGAAGGCCTCTACACCTTCCAGACACAGGAGGGTGAGCAGATCTACCAGCGCGTGCACAGCGCCACATTGGCCATCGCTGAGCAGCACAAGAGGGTCCTGCTGGAGATGGAGAAGAACGTCAGGGTGAGCTCCAGCCCATGCTGAGGGGGGACACAGCTGGGGGAGACTCTGGGAGCCCTGTGTCACCCTCCTCCCCCCCATCCACTGCAGCTGCTGAACAAGGGCACTGAGCACTTCTCCTACCCCTGCACCCCCACGACCATGCTGCCCCGCAGCGCCTACTGGCACCACATCACTGGCTCCCAGAACATGGCTGAGTCCTCCAGCTATGCTGGTGAGTGTCCCCACCCCACACCAAGGAGATGCTGCTCCTCCAGCCCCCAGAGCTTTCCGCACCAGGTGAGCCCACCACCTGTTTTGTCCCCAGGGGAGGCTTATGCAGGCGCCCAGGCCAGCTCGGACACCGACCTCCTCAACAGGTTCATCTTGCTGAAGCCAAAGTCCTCCAAAAGCGACAAGTCTGAAGACAGGGAGCCCACATCGTCCCCATGAGCTGGTGTGGGGGGACTGTGGCAGGGGTCCCTTTTTTCTTCTCCAAGGGGTGGCAAGGACGCAGGCAGTCACCCCTCAGAATCTCCAGGAGACCGAGCTGGGGCACCTTGGTGCCAAGACCTTAAGAAACAGGCACTGGCTCACGCCCTGGTCTGGCGTTAGTGGAGGCGATGGCTGGCTCAGCCTCAACTGACTTCAAATATATATTGAATACCCGTATTGTAAGAGATATTTCCTTCTCACATGAATGCAAATGTGGTGGCTGCTGAAGAGCCCTTGGGCAGATGCCCAGAGGTTTTTGACTCTTAGGGACCCAAATGGGAGGTGAAGAGAAGTGGGGGGAGGGGGGGGGGGGGGTCAAGAAATTTGGAGTTTTCTGCATGGCAGGAAGGCTGGAGGATCACTCTGCCATGGCCATGGAGCAGCGTCAGAGGATGCAGCTGTGTCAGGCTGATGGTGCAGGGCCCCACCCCTTCATGAAGAGCGGGGTGCTTCTGAGGACACCCTGCCATCCCTGAGCTGATTTTTGCACTTCAAGCTATTTAAACGCTCGCTGTAGAATTGATATGTCTCAGGAGAAACTGGTTTTCCTTCCAAAGGGGTTGGCTGGGGTGAGCGGCCAGGCAGAGCCAAGCTCCCTGGCTTCTCCCACCCCAACGCCCCTCACTCCTCCCACAGCTGTGTCCCCCTGCTATGCCCCTGGTTTATCTGCTGGTGGGCACCCATGGGACTGGTTTTGGCCAGTAGCATCTGTCTCTCAAGGGGCAGCTTTATGGATATGAGAAGCCCCAGGGCAGAGAAACCCATGCTGATGGGGAGAGAGCCACATTCCTCTGTGCATTCCCACAGCCCTCACTTCCTCCTCACCCACTGGAGGTGGAACTGGGCTTTATGTGCTGAACTTAAAAAGCAATTGATTTTTTCTAGTTCTCCTATTTATTGACCTCCTTTAGAAGGGCTATCTTTTTATTGCCGTGCAAACCTTGGTGTTTCTTTGGAGTCTTCTTTCTGTCTGGGTTGGATGCTTGGTGGTTTTATTTCTGCCCTTTAAAGCTCCAGGTCCATGTGTTGGGCACAGGGAGTGTTGTGATGTGGGAATCTGTGGTCTGTAAATACTGTGTTTCAGGGTGGCGTAGCTTGTGGCTGAGGGGACATGGGGACAGAGAAAAGCTGCTCCTCGCAGCATGGCTGGGCACAGAGGGGCTCTGGATCCTAGCACTGCCCAGCAGTGTGTCCTCCTTGGGGTGAGAGGTGGAACTTGCCCTCTCTTCCTGGCTACACACCTCATCTGGAAAAAGATTTAACATTTGTTACCAAAAATGTTTGGGTTTTCTGTTTTTTAAGGAGTTGCTCAATGAATAAACAACCCTTATCCACATCCACCCTTCCTGTTTGTCTGTTCCATCCAAGCGCGCTCGGGAAGCGCAAGTGGGAGTAGTGCCTGCCAGAGAGAAAAATGCTGATGGGGGGAGATTTCCTGAGGTTCCTGGCAGCACGCTTGGCTCAGGGCTTTGTTCTGCCTCCAGCCATGGCCAAGACACTTCAAGTGAAGCCCTAAAACCACTGGGATAGGAAAAAGGATAAAGGGAGTTGCCACTCTCCATCAAACAACCCTGAGTGGAACAGGATGCCAGCACCCTGCTGTCACCCTCACCTCCAGCTGTCCGTGGCTCTGGGGATATGGCAGGCCAATGGTGGCTCCAAGTCCCCAGGTGAAGGAGTTTCAAGGCACACCATCTCCCAGCTCTCCCACAGCTGTGCCAGGTAAACTATCCAAGCCATGACTGCTTGGCAGCACTGGCCTCAAGGTAAGACAGCTGTGCCAACCAGCCAGTGATCCCTCCAGGGACAGGGACATGGGGAGCCATGCTGCAGCCAGCTCTGCCATGGCAAGGAAGTGGAAGCAGCAGCCTGGTTGCAGCAGCTTTTGCCTGGAGGGGAAGGCAATGCTGACATGGGCTGCTCTCCCTAGCTCAGTGTGACCCTAGCACCACCCCCTGAACCATCCCCATCCATACCAGGATGAGCACAGGGGCACACACCCTCCCTACTAGCCCCCATGGTAGAGGAGCTGTGGGTCTCTCCAGGAAAATGTCACCAAGAAGATCATCCCAACTCATGCTGGGCAGTGATGAAGGAAGAGGGATGACAAAGTGGCTTTCAGCCACTCCCAGTGGGGTCAGGGAATGGGACCTGCACTAACTGCAGCCCAGCACACGCTGGGGGCAGTGGACACAAAGAAAAGTATCAGCCAGGGACCATTAACTGACAGAACATGTCCCACCCAGCTCCTCAGAAAAGGCTTCTACAGCACAGGGGTGGAGTCTGTTCCAGAGAATTCTGTAAGTACAGCTTTGCCTGCCTGGCCCAGCTGGGCTCCCCTGCAGTGCTTCCTTCTGCAGCATCTTGCCCACCCTGGCCTCAAACATCTGCTTTACACACAGCACTGGGTCAATGAATGACGGGCTGCCTGCGGGAGGGTGCTGCTCTCCTCAGGAGATAACGGCACCAGCAGCAATCAGCATCAGCGAGCAATGCTCCCTCCAAAGCAGATCTCATTAAGTTAATGTCTATTGGAGAGAAGTAAATGATGTGACATCTCCTCTAGGAGCCTCGGATGAGCTTTCAGAGATAACAGAAAAATTTGGGGATAAGGCTTTATTCAGCACAGTAAAGAATGGACATGTAAATAAGGTAGGGTTGTGTAACAAAGGTGCACACTTCCCAATACCAAACACCACATGGCCAAAATCCAACACCAGAACCAAAACCCCAGGATCATTTGGAGACAAAGCCTGACCTAGCTAAGATGCTCACTGACTGATTCCCTTCCTGTTTTACCCTACACATCACAATGGCTGTTCCTGGGAAGGAGGGCCAGGGAAGAGGTGTCACCAGCCAAGTGCTGGGCCAGGAAAGGCAGAAGGAGATGATGGGGTGGTAAAAGCCTCTCCCCAGATCTCAGCCAGGCATCACTCACAGCTCACAGTACTCTCTTGCAAGGGCCACCTCAGTTGATAGTGAGGACATCGCTCTGGATCTCGTGGCTCAGCTGTGTCTGGAGGTCGCTCAGCTTCTTCTTGAGGCCGGACAGTGCGGACAGGACGATGGTCTCCGGGCGCAGAGATCCGCAGGACTCCACGTTGTAATAAAACCTCAGGTTACAAGGCAGGGGGTTAAGTCACCATCACCTCTGCAAGGAGGTGCAAACCCAGACAGCACATCATTCCAGCCCATCCACACCCACAGCAGGGAGATCTGCCTGGAATCCCAGCCACCATCATCATTCACCTCCCAAGCAGGCAGCAGCCAATGCTGCCCCTCTACAACCATCACACCAACATTCACAACTTCATGGGCTGCAAGAGCACTTCTGGGATTGATTTCTGTTCAGCACTGTGACCTGTGAGTCAGCAGCCCCAAGCCAGGGATTAAGGGTGGCTGAGGCACATTTGCAGTGCAAATAACACCAGCAATCAGAGCATGAGACACGCACAGGTGAATGAATACCTTAAGCCAGGGTATTTCCCCTGCAGGCCTCACACCTCACTGGGTGTGCACCACCCTACCTGGCAACATGAGCTCAGGAGAACTGTCTAGTATCTCCCAGAGGGGAAAACCTGCCACATCGAGGCATATCACCACTTGATGCCAACTCCTGCCCTGCTTTTCAGGGAATGTCAGCTCCCTGGGCTGGCAGTTTCAGCACAGTGTAGACATTCTTCTATTAATGAGAGCCCATGAGGTGTACCCAGCCAGTCACCCCATCATCTCCCAGGTGCAGCACTGCATTCAGCTCCCTACCTCTCTGGCTTCCCATTGGGGTCATAGGGAGCCTGAGCATCCTCGTCGTCGATCTCCGAGTACTCGCTCTTGGGCCTGGAATCAGAGAGCAGAGAGGTTACACAGAGCCCCTGCTCCAGCCTGGCCCCACAGAGCCCAGGCACTGCTTGGCCCCAGTGAGCGAGCACTGGGGCTCACGTGCAGCACACAGCAGGGTGCTCATCAAACATCAAGTCACAGACATAAGCTCAGTCACACATTGTGCTTTCTGGCTCCTCATTAATGCCACAGAGTCATCCAGCAGCACTGGAAGAAGGGGATCAGCCCTGCTCTGCCCAAACTCAGCAAGCCCTGTACTGTGGCTCCATCCATCTACACTGGTACAATCTGGCAGGTGCTTACAGTGAAGGGATGTTGATTCCTGAAGGGACTGTGTTCATGGAGCCTGGATGCTTTTATGGAGTAATGGACCTTGGGTTATTTTTTCTTTCTAGTTCCCACTGGGCCAGGAAAGCACTGGAGTATTCCAGCACTCAAGTCTGTGAGGCACAGTTGGCTTGGACCCATCAGGAAAAAAATTTCCTGCACAACATACACCACCTGCATCAGTGAGATCCATCCTGATGTCCTGCACCTCCACTCCTCTATCAAAATCACTGCAATACCTGTGCATCAGTTAGGCAAACACATCTTTCTACCTGCTGCATCCCTTGGTTTACAGAGCACCACACCAGAGAGACTGTGTGGAACCACTTAATCCAAGTAAGAAAACTCAAAGCCTTGAGCTGTCTGAGAATCCAGCACAGAAAATCCTGTACCCACCAAGGTCTCCAGCTGGCCTTCCTCTGCCCCAGAGATGCCCAGAAACACTGATCCCAACACCCTGTAATCAGCTGCCTGAAATAAAACTCTATTTCTAAAACAAACCCTCTGCCTGTACAAACCACTGAGGCAGATGAAGTGTTAGTGAAGGTGGGATTTCTTGTTACTCGCAGAACCACCCATTACAAAAATAGTGCAGAGGTCTCCATGACGCTGACTGTTGTTTCCATGACCCTGCTCTGCCAACAGGCCCAAAAAGCAACTAGCATGAAAAACTGAAACCAAAAATCATAGTGGCCTTGGACAGCAGAAGGCTTTGGCTCTGTATTGTCTTTACAGGGAGTCAGATGAACTTGAAAACACAGACATTGTCAAGAACTGGCAGCTCCAATATCAAACCTCTTTTGGGATTTTTCCAACTTTTACATATATTTTGCCTAAAACTTCTCAAAAACTGTTTCCTGGTGCCCTGTCTGTTTTATACCACACCAGGTTTGTGAGCCTGCCACTGATCAGTGTTTACAGCAGCACATCCACCACCCTGCCCAGTCCCTACTCTTAGCTTGCCCTGCCTAAAGCACCTGGTTCCTCCCTATGCTGCTGGCTCCAGAGTG